GCATGACCTCATCGGTGTAGGTATCCGGGTATCCACCGCATGTAATCCAAATGAGAGGATTCGATTACATTAGTGCCACCCGTCTACATAGACGAGTAGTTGAAACCTATGCACTCAAGACCCAACTTACTATACAGAAAACCGGTCTCAAACGCCAAAACGACATTTCAGGAGTCATGTTTCGCGCCGAATGGAACACTTGAAACGTATGGATCGTCAGTAAAATCAAGGAAATCTCAATTTTCAGTGAATGTATTACTGGACAATGGACATACATGTTCCCCCGTCCATTAATGCTTGTATCCAATGTCTGAGATATCTTTGAATTGGAAAGTGTACCCTGGGCTGGTGCCATCCATTCCCTTACCCATCAGACAGGAATACAGTGGTACCCATGTTTGGCGTTTTTGCTCCATTATTAGAGATAGCGTTGACGATTTCTGGCTCACATATCAGTGTTGGAAAGTGTTTGGTGACATAGTTACTGACATTTGATCATGTCAGATTGTCGGGCCACCCGCAACGATATTGAAACACTGAAACGACGAAGTGGTGAGATCTTTACAGCACTGCTCGGTCAACATGACTAGTTCGAGCCGAGACAACTGGTTGCAACATATTGACCGCTTATTGCGGAGCCAGCAACGAGTTACGAAGGATTGGCGACAGAAGCTCAGAGCAAATTTTGCACGGAGGGTCAATCATTCCAAAAGCAGCGCAGACCAGCCATACATGTTAGGTCAGATACCAATTTAACCGTGAGTTTCACGATGCATTTCTCATTCCCTGACAGCTTCCGACAGGCGCCGGCATCCACTCTCGATCCCGAAACAAATGACCCAGTCACGCACGTGGCATGGATCGACAAAAACAAAACCTTCCCGATGAAAAACAAGGCGCAAGACCATTACAGAGCGCCACAGGCTCAGAGCTGAACACCCGGTTGAGAGAGACTGTCACGTTGAGCTAAATCGGTCACTGTTCTCTTCGCGGCCCGAGGCTGTTTTTGGTGTGGATTGTTTTCGTTCCACTCCAGCGGGCAAACGGTCGGTGCTGCCGCCATTTGCTTGGCTCTGTCACCATCTGTTGCCTTGGGGGAGACCGGAAGGCGCAGACGATCACCGTGAAGCAGCAGCAGAGAGTGGGATCTGTTGTGATAAGGAGTCCCGGGATGAGAACCTCTGAGTGAAGTCGGTCGGGCGCTCTTACAAGAACCAGGAACGCTGCGAGTCTCGGCCGGGCCAGGGAAATGTAGAAGACGACATGTGTCTGGGGGAGGGAGAGGAATGTGCGTGCTGCTGTGAGCCCTCTGCCAGAAGGGGAGGTACCGCATGCGGCGGCGACTGATGTCTAGCTACGCCATGGCACCGGGCCGTGACAACAGAACGACGCCCGTGCGCAGTTCGCAGAAATGACGCAGCGGACTTGGCTGGCGTTCAAAGGAGCGCGTGAGGCCGGGGCTAACATTAATTAAGAGATGCTCGCAGAACTATTGCCAGAGTCTCAGATGGGCGCAGAACAGGACAGAAAGAGGTTAAGGAGACAGAAGATGGTGTTTGCAAAGAAACATTTATGTCGTCACCCCATAAGTAAGAGGGGCGTTAGTGTCTGGAGAGGAAATTAATGGCGAAACTAGAGCACAATGTTTCGTAGCAAACATGTCAGGTAACGCTAGCCAATATTTGAGGTTGAAGGAGTCACCTGCACTTATTTCTAGAGATATAAGCAAATAGATGTCAATCGGATACCAACTTTTTGGTGTACCGATACCAAACCGATACCAGCTCGGTATTTGGTATTGCAATCCTAATGTGTTTGGTATTTTGTTGGTATCATGAACCCTCGCTTATGTTTAAAAGGCTAAGAAATCGGTAGAAGGTTGGTATTTTCCTCATGTTCCTAAGTTGGTTTGGTTTCGGTATTTCTCCACGGTTTTTGGTTGGTATTTGGTTTGGTATCGGTATTCCGATTTTCCGTAATTGACATCACTATAAGCAAACATAAGGTACCAGTGAAAGGGCATGACAAAATTATTTAACTAAAAAATAAGCCAAAATACAGCTGAATGCCAGAAACTGGCATTTTCATTTGGAAGGCTTCAATAATTATCAGTCAACTTGGCGTACCACAATCGAGTCAAGACCTTGCGATTTTTTCATGCATAGCGCACCGCCCGGGTCGCTGACCTGGCACGCACACCGGCTGTCAAAACTGACCAGTCACTTGGTAAATGGAGGGGGGAGGCAGTGGACGGTGTGGGACCTCTCCCCCCCCCAGCTGACACAAGAGCCGGCCACTTTGGTGTCGATGACGTAAAAGGTACCAGACGGCGCCGGCCGCTGTGTTCTCCAATACAGGGGCTAGATGGGGTCAGGTGGGGTCAGGTGGTGTCAGCGAGGGCCCCAGGGGTTAGGTCCGCTTACGCAGAGTTCAATGAGGGGATAGGCGTTATGCAAGGAAGATTGATTGGGTTATGAAAATATTAGGGTTTGAAAGATGTCTTTAACGGGACCTTTCAATAAAAAAAAACATCATTTGACTCTGATTGACAAGCCTTACATATTTTATTTCATTTTTTTTCTTTTTTGCTCACTTGATGGCTTGACTATGAGTCAATTCAGCAAACGCATGCCGAATTTACATCGGGATAATAGTTAGCAATGCAAGTTACATTATGTACATATATAATCTGGATCAACGACCTTATTTCGCAAGAACCAAGTTGCAATGTTCTACTTCATAAATGCTTTGAGTATTGTGCAACGCTTCCTCTTATCCTTCCCTTTCCAAAATCAATAAGCTTACGCAGGTTTTGCAAGAGCTCTGTTCTCGCCTCTTGCACCATGGAGTAATAAATGAAACCGTTGCCCGCAATCAAATTACTGATCACTGTCAAACTACTCGGATCACTGTTGGAGAGATTGACCAATAAACAATCAAGTATTGTTGAGAGCAGGCGCCGGGCAGTGTTTACAGTGGACATACCAGGCTACTTAGCCTTACAACTTTGCCGAGCTGCATACATACATATACACCGCCGTATACACTAACACAGACGGAGAGGGACACTGGCTGGAGACTGGAGAGACACTGCAGGCGCCGGGATCATGGGGCAGTCCTCAAACCAGACGTACTCAACTGGGACCAGACGTCCTCAGCCGGAACCAGACTTCTCAAACTAGACGTTCTCAAATGAGAGCAGACGTCCTCAACTGGGATCAGACTTTGACGTGAGATCATACTATAAACTGAAAACAAACGTCCCTGGGTGAGACCAGGGTATTATCAACTATTGTTGGCGACCTCAGCTCAGTCGAGGCTTGTTCTTGCCGCTCAGTCGAGGCTTGTTCTTAAGTAAGTAACGAATGTCCTCGAGCGAGGGAAAACTTTCAAGTTGAGGGATGAGGGTCTCTGAATAAATTTTTAGGTTGCCATCAGATAAGGAAATATCGTAATACGAGCGAATGCACTAAACGCAACAGAGGACGTTCTCATCAACAAGAAGTGTTTCACCCTCCAAACGGAAGTAATTCGCTCCTCTTGTCCCCCGCCATGAGGAGATAATGGTTTTAGTCACCAATTGACGAGGATCAAAAGAATGAACATAAATTGTTTCTCTTGCTTGAAAAGACGTCGTAAACCAGCTGGCTGGCGACAAAAAAGAGCTAAATCAATTGCTCTTAACGACGCTAGCGACTAAATTTGAACTTTGCCAGGAATGTATGAGTCTTGATACGGAAATGTCAACCCAATCTCAAGCTGCGTTGCTTGTTTAAACTTAACGCAGGCCAAAGGTTCACATTCACAAAGATATACCATACAGCGCTCAGCCCTCGCAGCTGGTTCACCCTGATTCAAATTCATTCAAATTGGCTGAATCAAATTGGCTACCCAGGATGCCTAAGGGGTGTGTCACCATGGGGTTCTTCAAACAAGAGCAAAGCGAACCTTATACGTCACATGTCACTCGGCGTCACCCCGCTCATGGCGAGTGCACGTGACCGGGTCATGTGACGTGCCAGTCAGCTGTGCACAGTGCAGTCCGTGCACAGTGCACAGCAGGCGTGCACCGTGCACGCGGGACCGCCAGTGGCTCACCCTGGAGGCGCTCGAAGGCTGCTAGCCAGCCGCCACGGCTGAACCTTACACGGATCGCCTGACAGCCGATTTGTGAGCGAAATTCCGACGAGAGAGCACGAGATCACACCACACGTTCACACGATGTGAACTGATCACCGATCAGTGATCTGAGAAGTAGACGTTATTCATTCCGTCACTGAGAGCCGTAGCTGCGGAATACGCCGCTGTATATGTAAATGCATCGACCTCCGAATGTCAAACACATGCGATAATTCATGAAATTCCGATGAGATCAGCTCAATCTCTATGCGTCACCATTTATATCCAGCGTACTCTCACACACATCTGCCCTGACGTCTGACGAGTTTCAAGAAATGCTGCCTCCTTCTCCGACATCCAGTATGTGCCGTGAGGGCCAAGGGATTTATAACGCCCGCTCCACGCGAGGTGTAATTTTATTGCATGCATTACCTCCGCAACATCCGGTCGCATAGGAAGACGCTCACAGCTAGCCCACGACTCCCCAAGTGAGCTCACTCGCGAGTTGTATGTGGTCGGCCGGCGGCGGCAGCGCGCGCACGCATCCGCCGCGTCGGACCGACCCTGGGCTGGCGAGCGGCCCGCCTTCGCCGGCCCAGCGTCACGTGGCCCGGGCGGCGCCGGTGTTATGTGCAGCTAGTGGGCCGCCACCCGAAAACCGGCATTTTGCCGAAAAACGGAGGTTCCGTTCGGTTTTTCCGCCACCGCGATTCAACCACGGCCGGGCGGCGGGCGGCGGCAAGCAGCTCTCACAACGGAGGCGACCGACCATAAAGGAACGGCGCCCGCCCGGTTCGCTGGCCTCGCTCACTCGCACAGAAGCCGCCCTAAGAAGATCCAAACACTTGACAAGGCTAACCCCTGCTGCGTTTGGCACTCACCGGTTGAGCGTGATGGCGACCATGTTGAAGAGCGACGCCGCAACATTTCCGTAGAAGAAGAAGGGGAAGATGCGACACGCTGTCTCCCCCAGCATCCAGCTCTCTGTTATGTACCTGCGGGGTGGGGGAGGGGAAAGACGTCTTAATCTCGTGAAGATTTACCTCATGTACGTACAGTTAATTTATCTTGTTGTTGTGGCAGCTATGGAGGTTTACGTCACGTAACCTGACTCGCTCACATGCCACGAGGTATTTGGGCAATTTATGCATGCCGCAGCAAGGCAATCTTGTGGCGTCTTTCTAATTTTATTGTTTAACGCCATCACGCTAGAATGAATAAAGCGGTGGTCGCTGGAGGTCGCGGCGATGTGGGGTTGGCGGTCGTTGGAGGTCGCGGCGATGTGGGGTTGGCGGCCGCTTGTTTGGGACCCTCCCTTCGGAATACCTCCCTACATCCGGCACGCCGCTGCCGGCGGTATCTGGCTTGCGATCCGCGCAGGGAGGACTGAAGGAGCAAGTTGATGTCCTGTGTCCTGAAACTCGCTAAACAATACCTCCTCAGCTTTGGGCTCCGAGTGCAAGTGAGCGCGCAATAAATCGGGAGACTGAACAAAACATCGTTACAAAGCCACAAACAAGTTTTTAGCGCCACCTCTATATCTAGTGCTGTGAGTCAAGCAGACAGGTAAACATCGTACAAGCAAACCGGCTGTGGTGTCAACATACTTCACCCCGCATGTATACTTAGGGCAGAAAACCAAAACGTGGCCGCAAAAACTTTGACAAATGTCGCACAACTTACCGGAAAACGGAAACATTTTCGCCCCATTCGGGTTATGTATGGTTACCGCGGTTATCCAGAGTTTGCTTGAGAATGTGCAAAAACTACATATGCAATTTAAAATTGCATATCACGATATAAGCATTTTGCGTGAGACAGCGATACAATCTGGGTCTGACACCGCCCCCTTTTCGACCCCCCCGCCCTCCCCCGGTGACGTGACGCCGACGTGACGCAGGACGTGACGCATCTGAACGCATCATCGGCATCATCGGCGGAACTGCGGTCGGAATATCTGACCAGCATGGGGTCTAGCCAGGCGACGGGACTGACAAGGTTCTGGGAAGTCGCGCTAATTCGCTGCAGGCGTTCAGTGATCAGTTCAGCGAATATTTAACGGAGGAGCAGGACCATGAAGTGAGAGGGCGAATGATAAACAGCAAGAGAGCAAGCATGGTCGAAGATAGCGACGGGCTATAGGGGAAGGCAGAGCCAAAAATAATTGCATAAAGTAAGAGAGAGAGAGAGAGAGAGAGAGAGAGAGAGAGAGAGAGAGAGAGAGAGAGAGAGAGAGGGGGAGGGAGGGAGGGAGGGAGGGAGGGAGAGAGAGAGTAGGGGAAAACGAGAGAAGAAAGAAAGAAAGAAAGAAAGAAAGAAAGAAAGAAAGAAAGAAAGAAAGAAAGAAAGAAAGAAAGAAAGAAAGAAAGAAAGAAAGAAAGAAAGAAAGAAAGAAAGAAAGAAAGACAAAAATGTAGAGATCGAAAGTTCAGGAAGATGTTGCTCCACTTTAAATATAAAAAACTTAATCGAAAGGATGAAGATCCGAAGGAACTTCACCAAAAATCGTCGATGAAGTCCACTCAGGGTGTGACAAATGGAGATCAGTATATTCTGCCAACGCATACAACGGGAATGTGACACGTCATCACGCATCGATTGCGTTTCGACACGCATCAACGCACATCCCACGAGCTCACCGCGCGTGGCTGATCGAAGGCCGGCGGCGTCGCGTGTGCCCTCTGACCCTGCGCGCTGACCCCTGACCTCGCGCTGACCCCTTACCGGCCGGCCACTCACCTGGAGGCTGTGAGCGGTAGGTTTATGGAGCAGAACAGCAGGTCCGAGAGACACAGGCTCACTACGAACGCAGTGGTGGCGTGAACCCGCAGTTTGATGGAGCGAGACAGCGCGATGATGGTGATCAAGTTGCCTGAGAAGGAGATGTCACGTCAGTGGTGCACGAGATGTTGGAAGGCGCGGGCAGAGGTTGGTGTCAGCAGTAGGTACACCGTACAGGAGCTCATGAATAATTGGTGGCCAGTGTTTTATCTCGAAGGAAGAGTGATGTCGCAGCTTTCGAAAAGCTTTTGAGTCAGTCAATATATCTTGCATTTGCATTCATTTACATGTGTAAGGAACGGACCAGTCACTGTGTCTTTGACTAAGAGATAGCTAGTCGAAAGCTGCAACATGACCGGCGATTTCCTATTGGTATGCACGAACAGCAGTACTGATGGGTAATGAGATTTATATCTAGCCACAAATGTAAATCAACTAGCAAACAAATGATTTTAATAACCAAAACAAGCGTCAAGCACCGCAACACAACACAAATGCCTGCTAAGACTCTTAAAGCAACGAATGGCGACATTAAAAGTCGATAAAAGTAGCTACAGTAGCAACTCTTCTCGTTCGCGTGTCACGATGACTTGTAAAAGGTCATAAATAAACGGCATGTCGCTGACACAGCACCTGTAGCTCATGTATGTGAAGGAAGGACACCGCTATGCGTGGGCCGACAAGGTGACATTACGGACACCAGTATAGCGACATAGACACCCCGCACTGGGTCAAGGGCACCTATTGCAGACGAGAATAATGCATGCATCGCAGGCGACAGTTCCGCCAAGCGAGATCTATTCTGCATCACATCAGCACATCAGATCAGACTTTGACGTGCGATTTGACAGCCGAAGCGGAACGGATCGAGATGTGAACCGCTCTTCAAACGGACACGCGCTCGACAGCGATCTACTCGACAAAAAGCGACCGGGACGTCCGACAAAGGAGGGCGAGGAGACGCCGCCATGGGTCAGAGTTGAGGACGGCCAATTATCCTTGAGCACCGGGACCGACAGACGGCGGTCACATTGGCCCAAAGTCGCCTCCTTCCGCTCTCAGGGATGGACGGAATGGAAGTGGTAGTTTAGAGACAGTTCAACGTTACAACGGCCAACACGCAACTGGATACATGAATTTGAGCTCGCCCAAATTATTTTGAAAGGACTGCTCCTGTAGCTCACGCGAATTTCCGGACAAATATGACCAAATATGAATAGATATGAAAAAGAAGTACAGTAAACAGTCTCGAGTGATGTTAAATTCAGCATTCAGATCTGTATACAATTACTGGAAAATTGATATCAGACCCCGATCCGAACATAAAGTTAATGAAATTATCATACCAAGATGCACATTTATAGCACTGGAGCGACATTTAGCTCTAGCATACTCCCACAGAGTGATAGAGCCTCCTAGCGACCGTTCTGAGAACGGTGACCGGGCCGTTTCCACCAGCCACGAGATCGTTTGTGGAAGGCATGTGTAAACTGTCCCTGACAGCGGCGCGACGGCCGCTGGCGAACAGGAATGAGTTTATCCCAGCTCGGGATGTGAGTCACTTCTGGCAGAGACAGGAAAAAAAAACTGAAAAAAACGGGAGCTGGCGAGGACGAGAGGTTCGGATCAGGTCTATCGTCCGGTGGGAGGGTGCTTCTGGATCCCGTTGGTATCACTTCGTTATCAGCAAACACTCGCGTTGATCGGTCAAACCACGGTGTCCCCAGTGAACTCGACAAACTTCGCGCCTCGTCCGCCGGACAGCAAGGCCTTCATCACGACAGACGTTGACCTTATCACGGGCGCATCCTCAGCGGGCAGATGATACAGATGTTCAGCAGATGTTGCAGCGGATGTGTTCCGGCGGCTTCTTGACAATGCTCGGAGGAAGGAGACCCTGTTGTGATACGCGACACGGGACAAATGCGCAGCATTACGGCTCGTGTGTCAGTGTTTTTGCATCCGCTGTTGCTGGGGGCTGGAGGTGGTCGAGGTCGTTCTTCTAAGAGACGAGCGTCGGTGGCCAAGCTGTATGCATTCGCCATTCATCGTGGATGACGTCAACACTTCGATGTACCTGACGATGCATTATCTAACCCACGAAACCGCGTGTCCTTCTTTGTACGCTCTTCTGCCCGAATCTTCTCTGGTGATCTTGCTGTGGACATTCACAAAAACCGAACAATAAACTTCAATGTTGATAACATCCTATCATATGCTATATCCAGCCGCCCTTCTATCCTTCCTTCCATTCAATTTCATTTTATGCATCCTCTTCCCGCCCACGCTCAACATTTCAGCCAATCTGACCAAAACCCTCCGAGCCTCCAGGCGACTGAGGGCCTGTTCTCTCTTCTGGCAGCGAGGTGGCCGCCACCTGTGTTTGTGCGAACGCCCGCGGTGTTCTGTAGCTCAGCTCTGAGGGCCCATCCTGTGCCCGACGACCACCGGAGCGCAGTGGCGGCTGCTGCCGGTCTGTTGATCAAACACGCGCTCCAAGATCTCCGCCTAGCCCACCCGGGTCCTAGAGATCTCGGGTAAACCTTGGCCCGCGTGTCCGGCTGCGAAAGAGCCGGCCAGTCAAGACCGCAAGGACGAATTAAGTCACCACTCACCATTGCACTGTCTGCTCCCGAAAGCGGACGGGAAAAGCTGAAGATGTTTAACTAGCTCTGCAAGACTGTGATAAGATTCATAGGACTTGTGATGTTGACCGAGGGGATGTCAAGCTAAAGTCGTGATCTTCCAACGTATATCCAAAATGATGTTGTGCTTGGTATATCAATCAAAGCTTATCGAAAAAGATGCATTGCAAAAAAAAACACAACTTAACCCTATTCCTGGCGGGGGGGGCCTCAGGAGCCCCCCCCCCTGAGGTTTTTTGGTTATTTCTCCCAAACGCGTTGAGCTAGGAAGCTCAAATTTTCTGACTTTTCCTAAAAGGCTTCAACGCAACATGTCTGCAAATTTTGAGTTGATCTGACCTCAGGTCAGGTCACCAGAGGCGGTTTGGTGACCCTACCTCAGAAAAGTTTGCAATCACGCCAGAGCTAGAGTTTTTGACCGATCAATTTCTTCTCTTCAGGCTTTAGTTAGGGTACCAGTATGTGCAATTTTTATATCTCGGAATTTTGATATCGGTGACCTAAGGTCAGGTCAGTTTCGCGACCTCCCCATTATAAGTCAATGGGGGAAAAATCAACTCCCTGTTTTTACCACTAAAACGGGTCGGAATGGCCCCATATACCATACATGACTTCATATACGATCAACCTTCACTACCTTGAGGTCTGTTTTGCTGTTGGGCAGCTGTGAGGTCATGTGACGTCATCAAAGGTCACCAAAGGTTTTTGGCCAATAACTCCGTACAGGAACAAGATACAGACGCGTGGATGGTCTCATTGTGTTCAGCTCGTCAAGACGCATCGAATGATATACATGATGACCTCGAGGTCACGTGACCTGAGGTCAACCTTTGACCTTGACCTTTCGAGGTCAACATATATATCATTCGATGCGGATTGACGAGAGGATCACGATGATGCCCTTAGTTTGTTCCTATCTTGACTAATTCGAAAGTTATTCGAGAAAAACTCTCTCCATATCTAGCGCCGCCATTTTGACTTTTTCGACCCCTGTGACGTCATCTTTGACCTGACCTGAAAATGACCTTAGTAAAAATTGTAGACCTTGTCCATGCGTATCCGATGCCGTTTACCGCTTGTCGCTATCTTGCTTCGTTCTCGAGATCTCAGGGGGGGGGGGCCGAATCGGCCCCCCCCCCCCGCCAGTTTCTTGTCCCGGCGGAGCCCGCCAGGAATAGGGTTAAATTTGAAGCAGTGCAACGATTTTGGGCAAATCACTCCTAATTCGTAAGGAAGCTGATCTGAGTCGGTCGCAGATACTTTTAGCAATTATAGTCACATATCCGTTCTCTTCTTTCTCCTCTGAGTTCTCCCCAACATCACATCCCCCTAGTGAACCTAGTGGGACGTTATTTGTGGGAAGCTGCCATGACAGGCTTTATTGACAGCCCACTACAAACATCCACCGAAAACTAACCTTCATTGCTGAAATGCTCATCAGTTTATACCCCTCACGGCATGTGACCAAAACATCATCCAAAGCGAGTTGGCAACAATATGTGGGTTTGACGCATCTCATTCTTGAAGGACGTCCTCTCACAGGATAATCGATAAAGTTGTGCTCGGGTAATGCATCAACTGACAGCAGTATACCGCTAGCCTGTTTGGCAACTTCAGCACTCAGCAGCTCACGATCTTGAGAGGATTTATGAATGAAAGAAGTATGAAACGCTTGAGATGTACGTCACTCACGCTGATCCGATAATTGCCTACAGCTGCATTTTCTGCACACATCCGAAAACTTAAGTCGTCCCGAAATCAGCTCTTCGTGACTTCTCGCCTTGTCGGTAGGGGGATACGGCGCGGGGGAGCCAAACGGAAGGACACAGGGACTGCCGCTCCGCCCGGGGCAGGGACCGTTTAATGCGTCCCATCAGTGCACCCCATAACCCGCCAAGTGGCACATTACGTAAAGTGGTAGTTATGGCTGGTCCCGGAACCGGTTCAGGCTGGCATTTGACGACCCCTCCTCAGACAAAAGGCGAGGGCATCGGGTCACAACAGAAGGCGTTTGATTCAGTTTCGAATGGACGATGTGGTGCTCCAACGGGAAACTCCGACAGTGTCAATGATAACTAGTCTCAGACGACAGTTAAACGGCCCAAACCATCCCCCAGACCCCCCGGAGTGAAAGAAAAATCACAACACATTGATTAATGGACCCAAAACAAGGATTGACACCCCGCCTTTTAAAGCTAGGCTCCTGACGCTAGAAACAATTATGAGTCAGCACCGCTGATGAATGAACCATCGCCGGCAGATGATGAAAGTGATAGCGTCCGAACCAAAGTCCATAACCAGTAGGCGCGCCAGTGGTTGCGTGAGAACTCATCAATCTTGGGCGGTGCGGTGACATGACACCTGGGGCCCAGCCCGGCACGCGTCCAAATGAACAGACCCCTCAGCGACGATTTACGAGCAGCGCGCGCAACTCACCGGCAATGCCGACAACGATGAAGATGATGCAGGCCACTGCGGCGAAGATGGTGGCGCCGCGGGGGTAGTGGATGATGCGGTCCTCCGCCTCCGTCGCGTTCGCCACGTCCATCACCAGCTCTGGGCCAACGTCCTCCACGTCCGCCATGACTTCTACGTCACGCTGGTGACTGTTCGCGTGACGAACGCGCGCTGCCTTTGTCCCCGCCGCGCCGCGACTGCCGCTGCTGCGTCACCTTTGTCCCGTGGCAACCGGGAGTGACTCGCCTGAAAGACAATGCATCGTTAGGCGCTGTCGGCGTCATGCGCAAGAAAGGACGTCGGTAATTGCTTTGATAGAGGGTGGATGGGGTGAGAATGAAGGGAAGAGATTGGGAACACCAACTGAAGGATATACGATGCCATAGGGACCACACAGGCATGAGAACGATGTAACATGAGAACCAGGCAGGTGGGATAACAAGACAATCTAACGGACCGACAGAGCAGCAGTCAACAGCGAACACGATACAAAAACAAATACAAGAGGTGCAAATAACTCCAGACAGCACGGGAAAATGGCTCATCGCACTCCAGCAAGATCAATGTTTTTACAGGCACGGATCGTATCGAAGCCGGAAAGGTTGGGTCAATGACTTGTCACCACGGATCAGACCACTAGCGGAGCCGCCCAGGGTAGATGACTGTCTGAAAGTGTGTGTCACCCGCCGCGGCAAACAGGAAATTGGCCTGATGTGTTGAATCACTGCCGGCCTGTGTAGCGCGGCGCCTGTCGACCGCCCTGTGTTTGTCTGACACCAGCTCTGTGCGTGTCGTGTATGCTCCAGGCATAGTCCGCTTCAGAGCGTTTGGTTCGACAAACAGCCGCTTCAGAGTTGATGCGACAAGTGGGCAATGTGACCACCCAACGGGCGCGCTGGCGATCGCAAACATCTTCGTACGAGCTCCGGGGGTGAAAATGGCTTCGATATGTGACTGGTGCATGACATCACGGGTGAGACCTCTGGCTATCTGGCGTCACGTCTGCGCCATGTCACGCAGCGTCCCCGTTCCGACCGCGAGGGGTCAACGATGAGGTCATGCCCTAGCATCATAGAGATTCAGCACCACCTCCAGACGCTCACTGCGTGCTGCAGCCACCCCTCGCGTGCATGGGTCTCCACGGTAGACCGCCCCTCTCAGCCGCTGGACTCATGACAGTCACCAGAACTTAGTGCGTCGGTACCAAGAAGGAACGTGTGCTGGTCTTTGCCGCGACTGTTTACTTCAGCCAGGCCAGAGATCATCCAAGCGACGATTCCAGTCACTCAGGCGGAACCTTAGCCGGCACCATCAGACCCAAAATGTCGTCGTTTTGTCCTCAGAACGTCGCTGTTATGCCTGAGAATGCCGTCGTTAGGTCGTACCACCGTCGGCGCATGGTGCGTCTCCCGGTCCGGCGGAGGTCGGAAGGTGGCGCCGGCCTATTGACCTTCGGTGGAAAGACGTCAGACGGGACCACCCCGCGGCGATGCTGCCGGCAGGGCCGCGCCCATAATGGGAAGGGCGGAGAACGCACCCGGTCTGATGTCATAGCGAGACTTGCAGTGAACATAAGCACTCGCATGTCGTATATTTACTACAGCGTCGACAGCTAATGGTGTCCGTGAGTCGTCAGACATTGCGGCAACTCATTCACGAGACAAATTGAAGTGCGCGATCTCATGAAGAGAAGAATCATGCTACCGTAACTTAAGATGAGTGATGTCCTGGCACCTTCTTGGAGGACGTAAACGGGTCTACGGTCATATTCAGCAAAGACCGTCCATGAATAACACACCTCCCTTGACTCTGTGACTTGCTCTGTACTCTGTACAAAACTTCAAGGCGACAGGGGCTGCCTCGTGGATCCAATCCAGGATCAAACCGAACCAATTAATGATGCATAAATGCCAGTGACTGAAATGCAAATGCGTAGCAATGACAGCAACTAAAACATCTCTAGTAGTTATTACCAGGTACACCAGGTATTGTTTAGCTAAGTAGCCAGAAAACAAGTGTAGTTACTTATGCATAAAGTTTCGATTATTTGCATATGCACCTGGCATCTATCTGTCATTCGTGAGGCCTCGTATTTAGAAACAACTGCGCACCATGTTAGCGGCCTTGTGACAACCGTCCGCCAGCCATCACTCCTGGTCCCATGGCTGGCGTCCGTCTGTCACAGGCCGTTATTTTAATGACCCTTGACCGAATGTTCACACGACGTCATGAGCCCCACGACGCCCCCTTCCATCACAATTCGTCAAACCTCAACGTTCAACAAACATCGCACCCGAGCGGCGCCTGGTCAAACAGACACCGTATAGGACAGGGACTGGGATGCATCAAAACAGCATCTGTCGAGGTCACGCCCGGTCTCCGAGAGCCTGGATGGAACGATGAGGCCTGCGTTTCAATCGCCGCGCTGGCCGGCAACGGAGCCGCCGCGCGTGTGTGTCATGCATCTCATCACTCCTACACATTGGATGGGCAACCTGATCACAATGCAGCCCGCAGCGCAACAGCGACAGTTTCGGCGCAGCAGAGACAGCTCCAGCGCGGGACGACACCCGGCACGGCGGCGGCTGTCGCGGAGTGCTGTTCCAAGAATGGGGCGTCGCTGAGGTTGACATCAGTGCACTGACAGGCGACAGCGCGCCTGTGTCGAGGTCCTCCAACACTGAACACGCAGGCGTACATCTCCAGGTGTTGGGATCACCTGTTGTTCAGACAGCAAGCGGCCTGGTGTCTCCTCCCGGAAAATGTTGGGGTGTCGTGTTGGTCAAGCACCTCGCGCTGGGGAACTATCCAGGTGCCGGAGTTTCGTGTCTGTCAGTCATCCACCTGGCGTGTAAAGGCTCCGGGACACGCTAAGTAGACAGAAAGGAGGGGTAACATGACGCATGAAACGATACCCGTCTGATGATACACCTGGCTTGTTCAAAATACAGTAGCATGAGGGACGAGGATGAAAACTGCAGGTTGACGACACCAAGAATGCATTTTAGGTTCTACATAGGCCTGTAAATACTTTTTTCATTTTGTCGAATTCGACATTGATCTAATGCAAACCGGAGAGGTTCGTTCGGGATGCAGCCGAGAAAACTCAAAAGTACAGCTGTTAGCTCGATTTAGAAACATGGGTGATTTTCTTTAGAGATAATTCGAAATGTAGCCCTTTTGACTAAACTCTTAATCCATAGGATCTGTGTACATTTACTCGGCAATAAATATGGGATCTCAAAATCCAAAATACCTAAGTATGTGGTATTCTGAATCGTATAACTATTCTTGTGTCTCTGACAAGACTGTCCAGGCATACATATTTTCTTGCTAACGAATATGTTTCGCACCTTCACAAAGCGCTGAGGGAGGTAAAGGACCACTGAATAATTGTAATAATATGACAGGTTTTATCACTGACCTTGTGCCAGTCCGTTAAACCCGCAGCTCACAGAAAAAGGCCATGGCACGAAGGCGCACAATGGAATTTGAGCCGATTAGATATGACACCGCAACAAGGCACAATGTTTGGCCTATAAAAATTGGATGATAATGTAGTTATAAAAGTTAGCCTTGATGTTTTAAACATATATGCTTGATATGACATTAAAAATGATCAAATCAGCAGCATTGTTCGTTTATGCGAACTAAGAGGAAGGGAAAGTACAATAATAGAAGACAAAGGGTGATGAATAAGAGGAACTAAAAGAAAAGCAAATAAGCAAAAAGGATTACCACAATAAGAGGATGTCATCCAGCCTTTTGCAACATGGATACCAGGAACAATGGAGATCAAATCTGCATGGGTGAAACAGTTATTGCTATTTCCCTGTGTCTGTTGCACATGTTGCAATATATTCATCAAATAACGACAAAGAGGTTCGTTGAAGCTGATAGGTATCTAATTCGAAAATTGTCCACGCTCTCGTCTCTCCCAAAGGGATCCATCCACCCCTCTCCAACTCACAAAGGAAGGATGAGCGGAGCCTACCCGTGACAAGCTTTTGTCATCACCCAGCACAACAACGGAAGGGTCTGCCCCGCTCTGGGGAGGGCCCAGGCTACGGACTTCCTCGGGGAGGGGAAGGCGTGATGTCAGCAGAGGTGAGAAAGACCACACAGACGTCGCGATCTCGATGACCACATCCTGTCTGGTAGGGTGTGTCATTTTGGGCACTTTTTTCGCAAAACATGGTGCTCCACTGATTTTATCGTGCCCCAGACACGTAGAAACCGTGTGACATTTTTTATTTCCCCCAAATATTAACACCCATGCGGCGCCGACCGCCGACACTTTGGCCTATCTCTCAGCATTAGCGACCTCAGCGCCACTAGCGGCAATGTTTTGAACTAACACGCCCGCTATGCTTTGTGAGCTTACGATCATCATTAAATGCATTTTACCGAAATGACGCCTTGCTGTTGGCTTGTCTGGCACTCAGAATGTTGGTGAAAATGTGATGTTATGCATCTTAAAGCAGGAAATAGTTCTGTGTTAATGTATATTGCATAGTACTACCCCCGATCCCCGTCCTGGTCTGACGGGATACGTACGAGCGCATGTTTATAGTGCCTGCTATTAGGTGTCACATGTTTTTTTTTTTTGTAGCGTCGTTCACTGCATAGACCCCGGGGAACAGGGGGGGGGGCAGTGGGGGCGCTTGCCCCCCCCCTCCAACTTGAGAGCCGAGTGGGCGCCGCCCCCTCAACATTGATGCAACGATGAAGGATCTCTGCTCACTTTTATGGACCTACATGTCTGTTTTTATATAAACATCAGCACGAGGTATTTCTCTTGCATGTGAAGTGAATGGTTTCTGTTGACTCGGCATCGATTTAAGAACACCTGCTATTATCATCCCACTTTGATTTTATCTGAACTTGATCATAACTTTGGTAGGTCAGATTTTATACTGGACTATTTTGGTTCCGGATGGTATTTGATTTGGCGTGATGAGAACATTATGACGTACAACGGTGGTAAAGTCGTTGATTGATACAGGTTTACTCGCTCCGGTGGGAGGCAGTAGCGGCGGAACACCTTCAATTAAGTGGAGGGGGGGGGGGCATGGCGACTTTTGGTCCCATTCTTTCCATGCAACGCCCATAGGGCTAATTTTAAAATGCCCAAATCAGAGGGGGCACGGTGCCCCGGTGCCCTCCCCGTTCCGCCGCCTATGGTGGGAGGGCGGCGTGTGGGACTCAGAAGGAGACTAATGGTTTGTGTTGTGCCTTTGGTAGGA